GAGATATGTATTTGCCTTATGAAGGCCGATATGAAGAGAAGAATAGTTAACGTACATCTTCAGATATTTAAAGTGTAAAAGCAGATAAATGATATTCTAATTTATTTCAAAGACAAAAAAATTACTTCTAGATCTTTCTTGAAACAAGATGAATCATGAATAGAATTCATAATTGATATAAATTTATAACTTGATCTTCATAGTTGTTTATTACTATTGTTATTAGTATGGTGTAATTCAAATCGATTCATTTTATGCTACCTGGTGACAAATTTAGTCACTTCTGAAAACTGTATAAACTGTTCAAAGTAACTGTTCTTCAAGTTTAATTTAAAAAAGGAGAAAAATTGGATTTTATCATTCGATTGTATCAGCTGACTTCGATTTGAATAAATAATAAACATCAAAGAAATAACCTTATAATTACATAAAGAATAATAGTCGTATCCTTTACAAGGTCAAATGCAACTACTTTCGTATATAGGATATATGAACATTGGACATATATGCTTATTCTAACTTACTTCGACCTTCGCCATGGAAATTCCGGCTTTTACTAAACATGTAGTCAGTTCCTGTCGACTGACAACACCATCTCCATTATTATCAAGCGCATTGAAAAGCTCCATTAATTCTTCAGAACTCAAACATCGAGGCATTACTTATAGGATATATAATAAGTGGCTAGATGTTTTTTGACATTAAAAAAAAGAAATATTTAACACAACTGAAGATCTAGAGTAACTTCTTTTTGAAAATTTAACAAAAAGATAATCAAATTTAATGTACAAACACATAAATTCAGCCATACCTTTTGTGTCAGAAGATTTGTGGAGACTAGTAATTTCAAGAGTTGAGATCATGAGTCAATTGAAGCTAAACCACCATGGAAAATCTGGAAACACTGGACATCCGTTTCGTTTTATTGTAGGACTCCTCAGCGGTGCGCATCTACGATCCCGCTCGCGGGATTCAAAACCAAGACCTTTTTTGTTCTGTTCAACAAACAATCTTGTTTCACTTTTCAACTTAAGTGACTTAGTCAGAATTCAATATAAAACTGGTTTGCAAACAAAAGCAGTAGATGTTTCCACTCAGTTCATTTTAATTAATTATTGACGATTAATTTATAATTTAATATTGAAACTAAAGTTTTGAGGGTTTTCTTCCAAAAATAAGATCCTTATTGGAAGAACACGTTAATCAAAATAATATTTAACTGTGAATAAACAAAAGTATTGGTGTCAAAGGGTATAACATCATTATTCAACGTTAATAAAATGTAACTAATATGACATTGAATATGAAGTTAAAATAAGGTCTTTATTATCATCTTTTTTAGTTAGCTGACTAAATACGTCACTTTAGATGATTTATTGAGTTAAATTTTTGAAATGATAAATTGGAGTACATTCAGACTAATTTGAACTGTATCCAACTTGTTTAATTTTGTATTAAGAGATTTGATTGGGAAAAATTATTAATTATCCTAGAAACGAAATTTGGAAAAACGTTTCCTAAGAAGGACTGTTATTACTGAATAGGATTAAAACGTAATTCAGATTGTATATGATCAGATCATAATTTTTAACTGGATTTCACTGATAAATTCTACTTAAAATATAGTATCTGTTTATGATTAATTATAAACTAAACCACAAGAAAGTGATAAATTACTCCTCGTTGAATAATAGAAAAAGCTTTTTCCTATCTGAAGTGAAAGCTGATGATGGTGCCTAAAACACTGATAACATCCAACTCAGAAAACGTAATACTATCTATCTGATTTAAATATCGTAATTTCACAGCATATGAGATTACAAAAACAAACCGTAACATAAGTAGTAAAGCGCTGAAACAGAGATCATAGTATGGTAGTTATCGCCTACAAAGAAATAAAAAAATTGCAATTCAGAAACACATTTGTTTATCTATATCGATCATGATGAGTTTTAATTTTACTAAGGTCTCTTCGAATTAAATAAGTTATAACCAAAGATGATGCATTGGCTAGATTTGACAAACAACAAAATTACTTCTGGAAGTCTGAAGAACAACATCCCCCAAATAACTCTAGATTACTTAAAAACTGTTATGTATGCTCAGTTATCAGATTAACAATGAAAATATTATCAAATTTAAAAGATCACATATCTGTTAATGATGTTAGGTTAGACGACAAAAGTTTAAGTCATTCAACTCCATTTTAATGATAAGGTATGAGGTTTAGTTTAAGCGACTTTCAAATATGTTCCAATGTGTAGCGAAATGTAGGATACATAGACTCTATTAGTTTAAAGTTATGATGATAAGATGATCGAAAATAAATACTCTTATTGGTTTGTGACTATTTTTATATTTGGTATGATTAGAGCATAGGATGTAAATTAAAACCAATTACTCAGTTTTCCCATATGGTACGTTCATTAACAAATTAAATGAAAAAAATGTTTCATAACCATAAACAATGGAACCCTGCTAGGATCAGTTCACTAAAATCACAAACTATGAATAAACATTTGATAATTTAAGGAACCTATTTGAATGAAATCTTATGACAGTGTTCATGTCATGAAAATGATATGTTGCTTACACTTACTGATGAGAATGTAGATGAGTTAATAATCAACTTACCAAAAAATTGTAAAAAAAACCGTGATTTCAAAACCCTTTTTGATCACAACTAATCACTTTTTATCAATACAAATGACTGAAAATAGAGTCTCAGATTTCTATCTTAGAAACAAGCGCAGTTGTTTGTTTAGTAAGCTGTCTAAAAAGCCACCAATCATGTGATTCTTCGAATGACCTTGAAGTGTTAAAAACTCAAACGAGTGGTTAAAACTCAATGGCCTTAGCATGCAAACAATGTTTAATTTTAGTCATCATAATAGTAAAAATCTGTGTATTTAAGTGCGTAGGTGGGTATCTTCAACTTGATTACTCTGCTAATATCGAAAGTACTTCTCTTGAAATGATTTCCAAATAAAAGCTAAAACAGATAGATAAGAACAACTAATACACTATAAATAACTAAAAGACATTTCTTAAAGCTTACAGTTATAAGGTAGACTAATACTCCTAATATACAGTCGTATATAGTTAATAAAAATTACCTCAAAAATATGACGACTACCCCAGTCGATAATGCTCTCATTGATATATATATGCATATATCGATTTGTACACACATTTGATTATTATTAAGGGAAACGTCACACTTATGAAATTACAGCAAAATTTCTTGCTACATGTTATACTGAACATAATTCATTATAAATTTAATATCAGAATATCATATTGAAGTAAATCAGTGTTATACTGAATAACACAGCACATTAAGAACGAAAACATAATAAACTGAATAATTATCACACCAACTAAAAATTAAAGTAGTATTGAGCAAGAACCACAATGAGTTAGTAATGTAATTTTGCATATTTTTTATCCCGTCATATCAGAATAATAATGATAAATCAGTATTTTCATCGATACTAATTAATTAATTAACTAATCGATTAATGTTTACACTAACGAGTTTGTAAGTTTTATGGTCTTGTGCAGAGTTCGGGTTACTCACTGAATAATACCTTGGAAAAGGTAAAAAAAAGTGTGAAACAATTTAAATAGCAGACGTTCGTTTCAAAAGATATGTGGAGATAAACGATTTCGCATTCGAATCACCGATACAAATTAGGATTCATGATGCCTAACTTCATTACGTATCAGTTTTCACAATTCCGGTTACCAGAGAGATTTGTTGCTCATACATTTCAGCCATATTGTCACTGAGTATAACTTAACTTATAGATACTTAAAACAAAGGTTCGATATTTGTAAATAAATTTTAGAATATTCGGTAAATTTTTCTTAAGTTTTTGCAGAAATTCTAACACGTCCAGCTGTTAAATGTCATATGAATTCTGCGTATGATGTAAATTACCTTAACTGTTAGCTTATATTACTTACACTCCTTACAGTAAAACTGCCTCTGTCACTCATAATATTATTGTCAATCATGTGGTATTTAAAGTTTGGTAGATAAAGAAAATTAACAATATCCGTCAATAGAAATTACTTTATTTATTACTGTTAAATCTTACATTTTAGGCTAGTCATTCGAAAGAAGATTTAATTATACTCAAACGTAAATTATGTAATAGGGTTATGCTTATATATTTCAAATAAGCAGTTTTAATCATTTTCTTAAATGAATCCATCGGAATATATATATATATATATATATATATATATATATACTCAAAAGAGTAGTGCTAGCAATTGACACTCAATGAATAAATCGTACCCTTATAAAAAATTCTTAAAGAAATAAGCATACTTAGACGTCATTCCACACATTAACCATTCGTAATCACTGAATGTACTATAATCAATATAATTTAGTTGATGGCAATTAGAAATATGCTTCCTATTTACTAAAGAAGTCATAGTAGTTCAATATGTTAGCAGCTTTATCACATACTCAAATGTTTTCATTGACTTTTGAGTACAAACCGAACCACTTGTTGAAGTAATCTATATTTTCTTTTTTTGAAAAGTCTATGTAACATGTATATCTGAAAGTAGTTACTTTCAGACTAGAACTAGATTCCGACATAAGACATTTTGATAGACAAATACTGTTTTAAGATAATTATTTTTCAGTAAAACTTTTTTATCAATTCATTACTTTGTCTTTATTTCGAAACGAACTAATACAGTGAGATAATAATAGATTGTGTAAATATAGAAACTTATCGAAAGCATTGTTAATTGGTTATGAAATGTTCATACTGATAGTATGTTTTACATACGTTGTAAATCAATCAAGTTTTTCTATTGAGAAATCAATTATATTTCTATAAATTATAACATGTCATTACAAAATAAAAACACATTACAAGCTTAAAAATCTTTGTTTATCAAAAAAATATTACATTCTCACTATTTGATTGGGTGTTCATATTACAAACATCACACTTTTAAGAGTTACCAACGCCATAAATTGTAAGCGTTAACTTTTTAATTGAACGAGTATTTAAGAAAAAAATACAATGAATTAAATTGTGTTTCCTTTCACCTTTATAAGTAATTGGCTAACTTGAACTAGAATATTTTTTTAAATACTTTTATCAGATACCTTTAAGTGGATTCTAATATAGACAAACAATTTGAATATATGGCCTTGAAACTTAACACAATGGATAGAAGAGCATTGATTGAAAAATTCCATCAAATGGATAAAAATTGTGATGGCGTTTTAACACCGTCTGAAATTCGACTCTGTGTTCAGCGATCCGGTCTACCGCCATCGAAAGTTGATGTAAGTTTTCATTAGAACTAATTAATAATAATTGTAGCTTATCAATAATTCTGAAATAATTAACTCATCAGTTATTTATATTTTCCATCATGACCACATATGATTCTATAACTAAACAGATCTTTCTGATAGTCGCTTATTTGCATTTGAATATGAAATTCATTAACAGTGGCAACTTTCTAACTTCTAACTCATGTGAACCATATAATTTACTTTTTTATTTTACAGACGTTTCAGTTTACTTGTAAAGTCATTTCATTTTTGTTTTCCTAAGGTATGGTTTCGTGTTCACGAAAACTTTCTATCTTATCTGTCGGGTTCCATGAATAAGAAGAAGTTATAACATGAATAATCAAACTTACAACTCGAAAAGGCGTAATGACGAAAAAGACTTAGGATTAGAGACATAAGAATCAAAGGATCAGAGGAAGAGGTATATGACCAAATTTATAATATTCAACACGAATGTAATGAGTTCCTATTTGGTAGTGAAAGGAAGTAATATCAGTAACTCTTGGGAGAAATTTGAAATAAAGAATATTTAAACAACATGGTAAAGAATAAAGATCAATGTACACGTTAAGAATAAATGCAATTGTGCAGCTACACCGATTTCGATTAATTTAATTAAACTATCTTAATAATTGGTTATTATTATTAATCTAATCTAACAGTTGAATTCATTAGTCGATTTAAGCTATGCCATCATTGAAAATCTGGAAGCACTGGAAGTCCGTTTCTTCCTAGTACGAGACTCCTCAGCAGTGCGCATCCACGATCCCGCACAGATATCCGGTGCTTCCAGGTTTTCCATGGTGACCTAGCTTAGATCGACTCATGGATCCAACCACAATCTCCACAAACCTCTATTCTGATATTAATCTAATTACTATATCAAAGTATTCAATAAACTACAATCATAAACCAAACTCGTTAACGTTTACTACAATTATTTAAAACTATCATTTGTTTTAAACATTTTAGAATGAACATCCCCTTAACTATTTTATGTTACTTTTATATGACTACGCCTGACTCCAAACACTATTTTTCTAATTACTTCCTAACATACGTATATTGATTCTATGATGTGAATGATAGAAGGCTCTAACTTCACGTTATCATATGACTTTAGCCTACAAATAACGTAATCTTGAATTACTGTGTATACTGGAACTTTTGATTATCGTTAACATTTCCAGCTGTTGTATGCGTAAATATCAATATATAATCTTTCAAAATACTACCGCTAGTATATTCCTTTAATGAACTGCGAAAATTATAGTTACAAAAATTAGCTATTGCATTTTTAAAAATTGGAGAATGAAATTCTAAGAAACAAAAGATAGATAAGTGTCAGTAGACAAAAATTGATCGTCCTAATCATTTTTTTTATTCACCTTCATGAATCATGTTTATCTTTCGTCGAACTGTAGACAATCGTTGATATGTATGACATGATATCAAAAATACTTACACGCCCAATATTGTGGATTGGTTGAAGTCAGATATTATCATAAGTAGATTCCAGCTCAGTGATCTAAATGTTTAGTGTTCGTGAGAGACGAAAGACCCTGGGTTCGAGTCCCACCAATGGGATCGTAGAAATCCACCGTTTAATAGTCTCATACTAGGATGAAACGGTCGTTCAGTTCTTCCGGGTTTTCTATGGTAGTCTAACATTGATCGATTCAGAATCTTAATAAAGACTTAACAACCCTTTACTAATAAAAAAACATTATGAACGGAGAATTCTGAACCAAAAATCAATAAAATTTAGTTCATTTGAATTTACATGTTAAACAAAATATACTTTGATAAAATTCAGATATTAGTAAATATAACTAGATAAAAACAATAAACTGAATTACTGAGTATATTTGGCTTAGTTTATGTAAAATCCTTTAAAAATGAAATAAAAATTTCCTTTCTTGAGTGCCATCATTTACTGTTTCTGTGTTATTATATTACAATGGTTCATTAGTTATTAGATAAAAGAGAGGGATTACATGATAAAAATGTTCAAGGAGTTTTAAGTATTCCGATCCGGTCATATATTGATATGAAGGTTAAAGACAAATAATTTGAAGATAATAATTTATGGATCACAATATGAATAATTACTATTAATGTGATATATAAAAAGAAAATCTTGAATTTGACAATAATAATTGATTAATTATAATGAAAAATTATCAGAGGGTAATGATAACAAGTTATTGATTTTAAAAAAAAGTTTGGAAAGTATGTTAAAATCATGACAGAACGATATATTTCATGTGTTGCTTTTGAATGTGTAGCTCACATTTAACCTAATGAATTATTAAAATGTATTTAGTGTACATGTTTTTGAATTGTGCACCATTTGAGTTAATTTTGTTTTACTGTGTATGTTATTTTCAAGGATCGTTGTGTTTCCGCGATTTTTAGTTAGGCATGAAATCTAATGGTTAATCATTACATGTCTCTAATATATACTCTTTGTTAGTAAGTGATTATCATGTTTTGGATGGTGGACGAAATATTCATCTTCCATCAGTAACAGTCCTATTCTTTAAGTCGATCAAATATCAGGTTTGTAGCTGTTTTAAATACCGGTTTTCATAATTATAACACGTTTCTTATAAGCGATACACCTGATGGAATTTTTGTTTGAATGAGTTTTGGCTTTGAAACCTAGATTGATAGGATTAAAACAAACTACAAAACACTGAAATATAGAATACGAATTATTAACAAAATGAAAGAAGTCGTAGTACTTCGAAAAACATATTAACACCTTGTTAAATGAACAATTCGGCGAGGACGTAAGTACTGTTTTAATACACGTAAATGAGTTTGGTTTCATACGTTTACAACTGTTTGATCATTAAGTATTCATCTATGTTAAGTTTTTAGTTCTGATAACTTTCTGTAGATCTTTTTGCAATGTGAAAATTAGTCTAAGTGACTTAAGATCACGTGCACTTTTGCGCGAATAGTCGGACGCAACTTCGAGGAAGCTGACGAGCTATTCAGAATGCCACTGACCTCGAGTACTTCAATAAGCATCAGTTCCCTTATGATTATAGGTGCACCCTGCTGATATACACCAACTAACAAGAAGTTTAGATACACGGTTTTCTTTCATTTATCTGTAACCACCTTACATTTCTTGAATGTTTTATGAAGTAAATTTTCACTTATGTTCACTCTAGGAAAGTTACTTCAAAATAGATGTTTTAATTATAAGAAATAAATAACCAAGTAGATATAGCAACTCTTTAGAGCAATTACCGAAAGCTAGCGATAGATTACTTAAAGTTCAAGCAAATATTTATTAATTTACAACTCGGTGATCTGTGAAAAGACCTTAAAGATTATTGTTTAATTAAATATTTTGCATTATTAATTAATTCTGACTAAATTTACGTTACAAATATAATATTTTATTATAGTAACTATAAACTCTGAGTTAATCAAGCTTTCATATCAATTTCTGTCGTTATTATTTCAGTGAAAACATGACATTGTAATATGTTATTAAGATTATCATTTATAATATAACTAATGGTGCGAGATATTAACCTACTGAAGATAATAGTGGATTTGTCCCTCGATTTCGTTAATTAGTTGAAGTTATACATTGACACAGTTGGATGCCAGCTCAATAGTATGGAGGTTAAGTGTTCGTGCGCGAGATTGATAGGTCCTGGGTTCGAATCTCCCGGGGCTGGGTAGTGGAGGTGCACTGCTGAGGAGTCCCAAAGAAGGAGGAGGCAGTCGTCCATTGCTTTTGGGTTTTTTTTGATGATCTAGCTTCAACTGATTCATGATCTCAACTATTGAAATTACTATAATATCTACAAAAACTTCTGATATTAGTGTTTTACTCTTAAGTTCTTTTTACCGTAAATCAAAACTTTCTTTATAAAAATTATATTTACACAAAAAAAGATTCACAAGTTATGCTATGAACTAATCTTATTGTCAACGTGACAAATTGTCGTCTTTTTTTAAAAAGAAACCCATTTGTTTTTACTTTTTTTTCCAAGGCATCTGTATACAATGTTTTTGATAATCTATTTTAGTGCCTGATACTTTATAGTTAAAAATTCAATTCAAGTTATAAAATTTAATCATTTTTTAACTAACCACCTTCATCATTATTTTTTTCTCTTTTATATGAAGGAATTTCTACGTTTATTCGATTTAAGCGGTGATAATATGATTACACTTCAAGAATATATTTGTGCGCTTGGTTTACAACCACCACCGCCAAAAGAGTAAGTTTATTTTATACATAATAGATGGTAAACATTAATAATAATAATAGAAGAAGAAGAACAGAATTACATTTAATCTTTATTTAAATACAGATTCTCTTTTGAATCAACACTGCAGTTGTTAAGTTTTAAAACAAAATACATATTATGCAAATTATACACAATTAATTTTTGTAATCATAGTTTCTTGTTCTACATTTTCTACATTTAATTCTATGTAGCTTAATGTTGACAAGTACTTATTTACATACTTACGCCTGTAAGTAAGTAAATATGATCTATATGTGAAGACTTGTTTTCGTTGAGATTTTCATTCAAATAATTCATTGATTGATTTAATATTTGTTAGTATTATTACGTTGTATTACTTATTTTTAACAACTTACTATCTATTAAATAATCAAACATTGAAATTGACTTAGCTTTTTTATCAGGGTTAAACGTTAATACATAGCAGATTTTATAATTAAATAGAAAATTATTATTATATAAATGGTGATGAGTTAACTTAACAATATAATAATCACTGGTTGAAATCATGAGTCAATTGAAGCTAGACCACCATGGAAAACTTGGAAGCACTGGATGGCTGTTTCGTCCTAATATGGGACTCCTCAGCAGTGCGCATCCACGATCCCGCTTCAATTGACCCATGATTTCAATCAGTGAAAATTTCTAAAATCTCCACAAAACCCCTTCTGATAATAATCATCTGCTCATTAGTGACTGACTTGAAGAGATACTCCTGGAGTTCTAGTAAGGAGCCATTACCAGTGGAGTTCAACCAGGTCTGTTGTGAGATATCAGCTCACTGATGACAATGGTGTACGGTGGCGCAATTTCGTCGATTGGTTGAAGTCCGACATCAACACCGTTGTATGCCGGCTCAGTGGTCTAGTTGGTTAAGCGCATGGCACAAGATCGATTGGTCCTGGGTTCGAATCACGCGGGGTGCGGGATCGTGGATGCGCACTGCTGAGTAGTCGCATGCTAGAACGAAACGGCCATCCAGTTCTTCCAGGTTTTCCATGGTGGTCTAGCTTCAATTAAATCATGATTTCAATCTATGAATTTTACAAAATCTCCACAAACCCCTTCTGTTAATATTAATATTTATATAATTATCAGAACGAGTTAAATGAGATTCATTTTGTATTGTTCGTTTCAATATTCCTATTAATATTTAGGACCGTAAATGAAATATGTGTATCATGTTCGAATTGCTTTGATATTGTCTTAAGTGACACGCATTATAAACAAAGATAGATAGTGACCAGCAATGGAATCCAGAACGGGCGTTCTTTCACTGTTGGTTAAGCATTTGACTTACATTTTCTCATATATTAATGAAATAAAAATTGAAAATATGTATAAAGATTATATATCAAGTGATATCATTAATTAATTGTTCACCTTTAAATTTTTAATACTGTCAGTAAAATTAAAATTATCTTTTACATTATGCTGTAAGACTTCTATATAAATTGACTTTAAAAGTTCAACTAGCCATTAATCAACTGAGTTGTTTGGTGAACTGATCACATTTAAAACTGTGCGATATGGTGAATTAGTTTTCTGAACTTTTGACAGGTCATAACGTCTGAGTGTTACTTTACCCATGAGTCTAATTTTTCTGCATAAGTACTGGGAAATTGTTGTTCGTTTCAATCTATCTGATGATTGTGTTAATCGAATAGTAAAGTTCAATATAAACATTACTTTATTTTTTTCTTAAACTCAAGCTGTAGGCCTTTATTTATTTGTGACATCTTAAATAAAAATCGAACTCGTTTCAAATGAATGATTTACTGGCTGATCGCAAAGTGAGTAAACGAACTACACGTCTAGTGAACAAGAACACGAGTGGCGGACAATCGAATGTATGTGGTAGGAAATTACAGAACTTGTTAATAAAATCTAACAACCATATAGTAAATGGCTAATTTGCTAAATGTCCATCGATTGTCTTAAAATGACTCAAACTTCATGGTTCTTGCATTTTCATACTAATTGCATTCTGTTTCCATTCTTTACTGTTCGATCCTCTTGTCTCTCTGCTGCCAGACATTCTGTTCCTGACTAACGTCATATACTAATGTCGATATAAGTAGCACACACCACACATGCATTTCATTCATTTGTTCACTCCATTTACAAATATAAAAGATTGATGATGAGGGTGTCAAACATTACTTTTGTACACATAACATAGTCTTTATCTACATCCGGTCATTCTTCACAGCTTTAATAAAAGTCATCAGATTTAAGTTTTACCAGATTAAATGGCCTTGATTTGGCTGAATTTCACGTTCTTATTTAATACTATTCGTTTTAATTTATACAGATTAATAATAATGGTAATCAGTAATATTCTGTTAATCTGATAATTGTACAACTAACAGAATAAAGTTACGTTTCATACATTTGTCATATAACAGAACCTGGTGTGATGTTAATTTATGGACGACCATTGAGCGACGACAAAATGACCATGAGTGTCCATTCAATAACGAGGGCCAAATGAGGATTATAAACCAACGTGATGAATTAGAATTATGATTTACAGTTGATGGCTACGGTTAGGAATTAGATTTAGGGCTTTCATCACGAAACGACATCAGATATGATGCCGAAACCCTGTTTAGCCAAATGAATGGGTGAATATCACACCAAAATCCGAGACCTGTTATCTTATACCTGATTGGTGCGTCCATAAATTATAGTCTCGTCTGACTTAGTTATGTTTTGTATGTTTTTTTTTCTTTGTTAAAAACTTTCCTTTAACGCATTTTCATATTATTTCTTATGAATTATTTCAATACTAAACATATTATTAGTAATTATATAAACATTTAATACGTAATTTTATATGTTTATTTAACTAACTTCGCTTACTCTTTCTTTTCATTTTACATTATAAATTCAATCTAAACATATGGAGTAGTAGTTTAGTAGGTAAACTGATCGGGATTTAGTTAATAAACTATATATTTTAACCCTATTTACGCTAGTCAGGTTAGTACATCCAAAGATCTCCACTAGCTTTCATACAGTTTAACTCAAAGTACAATAGTTGAATTTAAACTAGACAAATGATAAATTATTCAAAAATGATATGTAGCTTCAATTCAGTGACATCTATATAACTATTTTTAAGGTTTATTCCTTTTGAGATTAGTGATTAACCAGATTTACCCTTCCCATATATGAAATAGTAAAAATAGACTTAGCTGTCAGTAGTTCATCACGATGATTACCTCACTACATCTTATCTCTATCTACAAAATGCGGTATCGGGTTAACCCACTTAAAAGCAGGTTGTCAATTAGAGCATTAAAAAAATTTCAGAGACGCATATGTCAATCACTTTTACTCTTCACCTTAGAAACATTCTGTTGAATGCATTTGATCTCTGAATAAAAAATATATAGAATAATTTAGTCTTTTACAGTATTTGATAAAAAAATAACTTCCTTTCAATCACCAGTAGTTTGAGTCAGTGATTTGTTAATTAGACTATTTATTAGATAATCTTAATATATACTTTATCAGAAGGGGTTTTGTGGAGATTTTAGTAACTTCATTGTTGAAATCATGAATCAATTGAAGCTAGACCACCAATAAAAATCTGGAAGCATCGGACGGCCGTCTCGTCTTAGTATAGGACTCCCCAGCAGTGCACATTCACAGTGAACCCAAGACCTATCACTCTCGCGCGTGAGTGCTTTGCCTTTAAACCATTGAGCCAGAATCCAGCATGCAAAACTTGATTATTTTCTTTCTAAAAAACCGTACTGAGTAATTTATCGTATAAATTTTACTGATATACTGATTTATATATTATAATTTAATTAGTGTATTTATGTGTTGATTTAAATAAGCTAGGTAAAAATTATTTATTTTACAATATAAAGTAGATATGAGGTTATATAGTGAAATTTCATCAATAATAAATCATGATTTCAATTAAATTCATGAGTTGATTTAAGCTAGGTCACCACTGAAAACTTGGAAGAACTAGACGGTCGTTTCGTCCACAACCCCCTCCCCATTCTGATCATGATTTAAGTATTTATCAATTTTTCCTAGTTTTCTTAACGTAATGTTGTGTTTTAAATTTCTGTGTTGTGTAATTTGTATAATTACTTCAGTAAATAGAAGAAAATTGGAAAAGTAATAATATTAAAATTGACTTTATTATAAACTACGACCAGCTGAAACATTTCACAAGACCAGTTTATCAATTGATATCACTTTGTAATCAAAAACTATCTTAAATAAACGTAGATCTCATAAAGTACCCAAGTGAAAAATAATGGTAAGTTTAATAAGTCAATATACTATTATGAATATATGTACATGTATCTTCTGACTAGTTTCATTCTAATATCATCAACTAGTTGTTTGGTTTTGACAAAACAATACATAGATTATTGCTTTATTTCTAACTATAAAACTAGTACTAATATAAAATATCGAGAATAGACAAAAGAACTATTTAGAAACTCAAACAAAAAAGATGATCATCTTGCAGTGATTGAGAACAAAAGTGTGGACAATCGAATGCATTTGGATATGAAAAATTACAGAACGTTTTATTAAAATCTGAGAACCATACAGTAAATAATTTATTCGTAAAATGTCAATCAATTGTCTTAGACTTGATTGTTAGTTCATTTCCGTAACAATCATTTTCTGTTTTCGTTCTCTTCTCTTCAAACTTTTCTTCTTCTTCTTCTTCTTCTTCTTCTTCTTCTTCTTCTTCTTCTTCTATCATCAGACACTTTAATTTCCATTCATGACACATACTACTTATGTCTGTTGACATCAGTAGCACACAACACAATTTAACACAGTTATGTGTAGGTTGGAAATTTATTCTCATTATAAATATATAAAAAGACAAGTCAATCCTCTTGAGGGGTATCCATTGTGTTGCTGACGAAGAAATGCAATACAACAAAGAATATTTTCGTTTCAACAATTTCATTTGCTTAAGC